ATTTCGGTTCAACACATTTTCAAAGAGGGTTTAAATTTTTAAAATACCAATTCACCCCCCCTCTTGGTAGCCTTGGGACTTTAACTTAGGTCTAGCAACCTATTTACTAGACTCAACAATCTCTAACGTTGCGAGGAGTAGAAGGGGGTCGACATCCCCTCTATTGTAAGGAGCAGAAGGATGGTGTGATATCTCTGTCGTTGCAGGGAGCATGATGGATTGACATCTCTATCGTGCTAGTAGGCAAGATGAGAGATACTTTAGGAGGATATAAGAGTCATGTAAAGTTTATTCTCCATTATTAAAGGAGAAGGGCTTATTCACCTGACTGAGTGTTAAAAGAGTTTTCTACATAGTGAAATTACCAAGTAGGAGGGCCTTTAGAAGTGGACATAGGTTTGGTGATTGAACCACTATAAAATTGCTGGTTTGCATTGTATATTTTTCTTGCACTTTTTATTTCATACTTTTATTTAATATTATATATTTTTGTGATATTTTTTTGTTGTTAAAACTGAACTCATGAATAAACTATAAAATTATTTTGTTCTAAAAAAAGATTTTCTCTTCTGCATATTTTTTTGTTTTAAGATTTTTTTTTAATTTCCAATTAACCCCGCCCCCATAGTGTGCCATAGCATTTTGAATTCCTAATCTTCTAACACTACTTGTTCTACTTCTCTAATGGCTAAATTTTATCCCCTCCTTAGAACATTTTCTCTTTCACTCATTTTCGCATTCCAAATGTTTTATCACCTGAGTATATTTTTAATTATTCTCTCTAATAGATATCACTCAAATTGTTCCCTTAATATAATCATTCTTTATTTTTTCCTTTAAAATTTTTGTTATGCGTCCATCTTAGCATTTACATTTTTCTCATGCTCAATTTTGATATCAAAGCTTTTTGTGACAAATACTCTAATCCATACCATATCATTAGATAAATTGCCTTTCTGTAAAATTACAATATAGGTCTTCATGATATCTTCTTATTGCATAATACCAATAAGACTTTTATCTATATTAAACAATGAGCCTTGACTCTAAAAATTATTATCATCACAAAATTGTTTTTCTATATAATAAATCCAATAAATCTAAGATATTTAAACTATCACATCTAACTCTCACTTTATCTTCTAATAAAATTGATTAATAATTTTTAATATTAAAATCAATAAAATTGCTTATCATATACTTAATTATTATTCTACTATTTTCATATCTTAAATCTACTCAATATTTTCTCAAATTTTCCCTTTTTCACTTTTCTTACTTGAAGCTTATTGATTAGAACTATGTAATATACAAAACAAAATACTTCAAGAAGCCTCACTCTAAATATTCTTTATAAGCATACCATAATCAAACAAAAATATATTAACTTTATGTTGATCCTCAATATAATCCTATATAATTGAAAAATATTTGATCACTCATAATTACTTTATTACAAGTTAATACTCCATCAAATATATCTTTAATAACTTCAACATAGCTTTGGCACACCTTTCAACCTTAATCATACTTATCAATGGCATATAAATTATATTTAATCCTACTAATTATTTTGAAATAACTAATTATTTAACTAATAATCCTACTAATAATTTAATTAATTATTTAAGTATTATTTAGTTAGTTTTAATTATAAATTATATTATTAATTATCTCATTAAAAACATAAGAATTCTGCTACCCATTAATTAATTATTTATTATTTACACTAATAATTATATATTTAATAGTTTCTATTTTAAATTATATTAATTAAGCTAATTATATTTACTTTTAATTACTAATTATATTACTAACTATATAATTATGTTAAATTAGATAATTAATTAATGCTCTAATTATACTCTTAATTATTTAATTAATTTACTTTTTATTAATATTTTAAATTATTAATTAAGTTAACCAGTAATAGCTTAGTGGCTTTTAGGGTTTGTTTTTTTTTTTGGGACATTTAGGTCATTTAAGACAAACTCTCACACACATATACATAGACTCAGAACTATGAACTTCTTAAATGGAAGAGTAAGTGCTCAACCAACAGCACAAGTAGAGTTGTGTAGGGTTTGCTTTTCACCTTCTCTTTTTCGTGGTTGTTGTTCGGCTTTGTTGCTTCGCAGGATGTAGAGATTTTTTTTCCGCCGTGAGATTTACGGGGCGATCGAATCCCGTTTGGCAGTATTTAGCATAAAAATCCTGCTCAAATCCTGTTGCCAAACAGCCCCTTAGAGTCACGACCCATCCTTAGCAGCAGAAGCGGCGAGCAATCCCTCACCCTCCCCGCGAGCGATCCCTCACGCCGTTCGAAGCCGCGAGCGATTCCGGACGCTCGATTCCTTCCCACGGGATTCTGTTCCCTTCACGACCGATTCTGCCGCACGGGATTCTGCCCCCTTCAAGCCCGATTTCGTCGGGTATTCCTTTGTCCTTCCTTTCGCCGCCCCTTGTTTGTCCAGGTACCTCAAACAAACCTAGACCTTTACTTAAATCACTAAAATTGCATATCATATAGTAATAAAGAGAGCAATATTGGAACTTCTTCTTTTACCGTCAACTAATGTGGGCTTGCACTTAAAGGAATGTAGAAATGTGTTCGAACAAGAAATAATGTGGGCTTGCATCAAAGCAACTTGTAAAAAATATTAGAACACGCAATATCACTTTCAACTTCTAATAAGATAAGATTTATTTGATTATTATTTGGATTTGACTCATCAGCAGGAAACTCGACTTAAGGGTGAACACTTTTTATTCATTTGAGATTTGGCTTAAGCCAAATTTAATATTTTGGGACCTTGAGCCGAGGTCAGTGGAACTTGGCTTGATGTCATCACTACACAAAAGGCAAAAACCCTAAGGCTGAGTGCTAGAATTCTTCTTTTAAGTATGTGCATAAATGCATACGAGCTATAGAGGCTTAAATACTATGAATCCCTCAAAACAAAAGAAAATTTCCACAGAATAGTAATATTATCAGTTTAACATTGATAAATTGATCATTACAGTAATAATTGGATACCTAACTTAAAAAATATTCTGTAAATATAATTGCTAGAATTAGTAATGCTGTAGGGTTCATCTGTGATTGGGGTAAATTGTAGTATTGACAGTTTGACACTCCATCCAAACATAATTGGAGGCGATCAACATAGCAATAATATCAACCACTAAAAATGTAGCAAAATTTTGACAGCAGTTAAGTTGAAACATTTGAAGAACCATTGTCATAGTTTTGCTAAAAATTTCTTAAATTTATCCACTATACTGTGACTTCTAAAAGTAAAATCTAAACAAATTATGCAAAAGCCCTAAAAATTAATCGAGGCAAAACCTCATGAAGAAGAAAACCAAGTGCAGTAGAAGCGCAAATGCGAAAAGAGAAACATAGGGTCGCTTGCCTACAAGAAGACGTTCGAAACAAAGCGGGCTCCTTTTGATCTGACCAAGGATGAATGATAGAGAGAGAGAGAGAGAGAGAGGGAGAGAAGATGAAAGATGCAGTTAGGCTATTGACATGTAGCAACTGCTTTCGGCTCCATCCAAATTTTGAAAAATCTTTTAACATAATAATAATAATAATAATATAGGTGGAGTAGCTCCAGTGGAAGATAAGATTAGAGAGAGTCGCCTTAGATGGTTTGGCCACATTAAACGGAGGCCTTCTGATGACCATGTTAGGAAAGTTGAGGTATTAGATTTGACTTATGTTAAGAAAGGTAGAGGTAGTCCTAAAAAGACTTGGTTAGAAAATAATATAAATGATATTTCTTTATTAGATTTAAATGAGAATTTGACTTTTAACAGGACACAATGGCGAAAAAGGATTTCATATAACCGACCCCACGTAGTGGGACAAAGGCTTGATGTTGTTGTTGCATATATTTTTTTGTGCTGATATATATATATTCTTAGATTATAAATGATTAATTGATTCTATATGCTTTATAATACATTCATTTGATAAAATATATTTATTATTTTTTATTTAGGGAAATATATCTGAAATTTTATTTGGACATTAATACCTTTCTTTACACATATAAAGCATTGTTCCAAAGCATTTTTTGCGAAAAATATTGAGTGATGACATTTTGTTATTCTTAGCTTCTTCGTATTCAAACCTTGTCCGAGCCATGTTTGGCTTGTTTGAATAAGGTTTGAACCATTTTTAGGCATGGCTAAAAAATTTTTCGCATAAGATTTGAATAAGTTTGGACCATATTTTTGAACAATGTTCGAACGAAATTAGAACATTTATTTGAAACATATTTGAGCATGATTCAAACAAAGGTTGAACAATATTTTAATGTCATGCTCAAACATGATTCAAACAAAACTCTAATAAAATCTAAATAATATTCAAATATATTTTACCCATTGATCTAATCTTATTTGAAGTTGGTGTCATGATTCAATATTATTTGAAGAAAAATCATATTATATCCAAATAATATTCAAATATATTTTACTGAATGATCTAATCTTATTTGAAGTTGATGTCATGCTCAAAGTTGATGTCATGCGGCTCCTGCTCCTCGCAATGGTGGAGATGCCGCTCCCCTAGCCTTCCTTGGTTAGTACTAAGTCTTCACCCAAGGCTTTTTTAGAGACCCTTGCAAAACACTTGACGCAAACCCTAAATGATATGTGTAGGTTGACAAGACTCTCGTCTGAATCATCTCACAAAATCCTGGAATACCTTTAAGGATTCTCTCAAGCTTACCCTCACTCCCAATAATTTGCTCAATAATTTCGTGAGGAAGAGGCCTACTTTCTCTCCCCAAGGGCTCTCTCACAGAAACCCACATTGAGATTCTCTCCAAAAACTCTCTTCTAAAAAAATTAAGAGAGGCTATTTTAATGAAATCTTAATTTTTTTTTAATATTCTGACCATACAATATGATATTCGGTTTGTACTATTTGATTAGTTAAATAACCATTTCAAAGTTATCTTAGATCGTACTGTATAATATGAATTGTATAGTACGACCAACTATATCATATCAAGGTTCATCCAGGAAGAGCCAAAGTTCATCTGCCAAAGGTTCTGTTGAATCGTTCTGGACGATTTGGATCATATCATATGATCATCAATCAATATTTGATTCTTATCCGATTACTTGATCAATGGTCCAAAATAGGTAAGTTCTTTACTATTTGTATAGTACGAACACGCTCGTATAATATGATTAATTCAAAATTGAAAATTACTTATTTTTAGTAAATTAGTTCCAATTGCGGGGTTATATCACAAATTCTGATTATCTTGTATAAATAGTACAATATGATTAGTTATGATTTAAATTAAATTTATTAAATGTCGTACAATACGATCTAAAAAAAAGTGTTCAATTTTTTTCATCCCCACTTGTGTGTGTGTGCGTATTCACCTTGCCAACATACACCCAATATTGATTGACTATAGATAAAGAAAAAAATTACAGAACTTCAAAATAATTTATAAAGATTAGATTTATCATTTAAGGCAACACTGGACAAGTATAATAAAACCAACTCCAAATAGTTAAGGTTAGTGATGATGATGATACATATATATTTGTAACTAATTTATGTTATATAAATTATTGAAAACATATATATTCATGTTTATACATTTATTAAAACACCTATATATGTTCACATATCATATATTAAATAGATTTCGAGTTGAATAAAAATTTAGAGTGAGCCATCTTTAAGTCGTAGAACAAAACAATTTTGATTTAAAGCAATTGAAATTTGAATGATTGTGGTGTGAATGTCTACATTTCTGCACATATTTTGCTAAATCAGGTGTGAAGCTAAGAAATTTGTAATCAGGTGTTTATCATGGGGTTACTGCATGGAACGGGAGATTTAATTTGCAAAATATGTGCCGAACGACCTTGAGACATTCATATACAATCAGTGGCCTTAATGATCCCACATAATTTAAAGATCACAACATTGCTTTCCATTAAATTCTTAGAAATTTTGAAAAAATTTAAATTAGTTTTGAATTTTTCAAAAGTATGGAGTGTTTATTTTGTTCAGGAAATTAAATGCTTATTAATCATGTGTTTGATTTTTTATCAAAATGATGTAAAATTTTTATGGCATATGAATATGTTTTTTCTTGAATTAATGAACTAATTTTATAAGCTTTGTACTTACATTTATTTATTTATATAATTTTCATAGTATTAAGATTTTGTGAATGAATTAAAATTCATGTATCTCAACTTGTCCTTTTCTCTATTGATTTGGAAGTGTTGAACCATTTGATTGAAATCATCTTACTGATATTCCTTGTCCAATGATTAAGAAACACAAGTTTCAGCCCTTGAATAGACCACAGGTCTTAGTGGGTCACCTCCCACTTGTTGCTATGTGAAAAGGTGGAGAGGCTGCAACCATTGGATTTTGACCAAATAGACACAAATTAGGCATCTGCTTGGCCTATTTATTGATGTATCTAATTTCTCGTATGAGTTGATCACTATTATTGATTCGAATTAAATTATTGTGTGTATTTCTTCCTTTATTTAGGGTGCCCATCTCTGAATTTCTCAAGAGCTCCTATGGTTTATTGTAAATTTAAAGAATTGGAGAGGGAAAAAGCTTAATTTTACTGCACAAACTTGTCCCTATTTATAGATCTATACAAGATATCTTAAAATAATGTGTAATTGCTCTAATATAATCCTTCCTAAATCAACCATCTAAATATGGAGGGAGATCACCGTGATACATTTGAGCCTCCCATGGATTCTCATCATAGTCATAGGATCAAAATGCCAAGGCACGGCTAGGATTTAATAGGTGACTTCCCCTAAGTATGAGTGCTTGAAAAATAATGTATGGTCTTCTTGGCTATGCCGATAACCATTAAGTAGTATTATTTTTAAGAATCTTCCAAACCAAGCTCTCTAGGTGACTGCTTTAGCCCATATAGAGCCTTTTTAACCTACACACATTGTTACCCTCATATTGTTCTTTGAATCATGGTGGAATGATGGAATTTCCATAAATATTTCTTCCTCCAAGTTCCTGTATAGGAATGCGTTTTTGACATCCAATTGTTACAGATGCCAGTTATGATTAGTTGCTAGTGAGAGCAAGATCCTCATGGTGTTCATCTTGGCCACTGGTTCAAAAATTTCTTGGTAGTCAATCCCTTACGACTGAGTGTATCCTTTCTCCATCAATCTTGTCTTATACCTTTTTAGTGTACTACCATATTTGTATTTGATAGGGAACACTCATTTGTAGCCAACTAATTTTTTCCCTACTTGTAGGTCGGTAATCTCCTATGTATTATTCTTTTCCAGGGCTTGCTTTCCATCTTTCATAGCATTTTTCTAATTTTCACAAGATAATGCTTCAGAAATATTATTAGGAATATGAATATTATTTTGTGTAACCAAGAAATTTTAGTGTGAAGGTGAGAAGCCATGGAAGGATACAAAGTTAGTAATGGGGTAAAATGAAGGTTTTTTGGTGAACTTGTATTTACCTCAATTTCAGGAGACGGTTCAAATTTTTGGATCAGCTTTGGAGCATTATTTGGATTTGTACGCCTTGAGTACACTTTCCCAAACCTCGTATTATCCATAATAGCTTTGTTTTCAGTTTCCCTGCCTTTGGTTTCAGGTTTAGGTGGATTGGTTTGAGGTGGAACTGAAGGGTCAAGAGGGGAAAGCTCACTTTTCTCATCTTCCTCAGTTTCAGCCTCCTCCTGAAGATGAGGTTTGGTGAAATAAGTTTTTTGTTCATCAAAAGTAACATCAATAGATACAAGTGTTTTATTGGTAGAGGGATGATAACACTTATAATCTTTTTGGGTTGATGAATATCCAACAAAGATACAAAGAACGCCTTGAATGCACTTTCCCAAACCTCTATTAAACTCAACTAGACTAAGTTTGGTTAATCCTAGACTAGGTTTGTCAACTCATATGAGCTTTAAATTAACTTTGGTCCATTAAACCACCTAGTGTTTATTATAGCTTAAGCCAACTTAATTCTAACCAAGTCAGAGTCTTATTAATCATGCTTAGATCTATTAAACAATATTTTGATTTGATGTTTAATTAAATTGATTTTGGTTAGTTTAAGTTAACCTTTTAACCACCTAATGGTTGCAGGACTCCTCACCCACATCTAACTTTTAGGGACATAAGACACCAGTCAATTTGCTTTGATTGAGTATAATAGTCTCTTTTAGGTTAGCCTTAGGCTAGCTCAAGTTAGATGAGTCACACTACCTCAGATTATTTGGGTCTCATCAGACCAAGCTCACGACTTATTTAGGCTTCGTTTGGTTTTTTGTGCTTCTGTAAAACACAGTTTTAAAAAACATTAGTTCAGAAAATGGAGTTTTCTAACGGAGAAGCACATATAAAAAGCTTTCTCAAAACTGCAGAAAAATGAGAAAAAGGAGTTATTGGGAACGTGATTTGACGAACCAAACAACACAAAAAAAAATTTTTCCATTTTATGAAACGGAGAAGGCAAAAAAATGCTCAAACAAACAAAGCCTTAATGTTATAGGGTCCAATGGAGCCAGAAAGCTAAATTATCCTTCAGCTCAATTAGGCTAAGGAGATTCCCATAAGCTCAAATTTGACAAATGGTCGACTTTGGTTAACCCTTAGTGGACCATGGTGGGCTTTAGTAATTTGATGTTAAATTTATTTTGGGTGGGTCCACATAGGTTAAGGACACCACCAAGCTGAGCCTGAGGGCCCAAGCACCCTAGTTCAGTGAGTCTTCTCCTGAATTAAGGTTCACTCGTGGAGACAGCGGAACATTAATTTAAGGCCATATAGCAGACTAAAGTCAGTCCATGGGTCAGTCATGTTGTGCTTGCTTAATTTGTAAATAGCTGAAACCAAGATGGGCAATTAGTTCTGAATAGGGGCGGCCAAGCTGTAGGAGCATCCCCAGATTGTAATAGTGGTAAATGGTTAAGTTTTATTAACCAAAAGAGTCATGGAAATGTTTGAAAAGGAGGCGTTCTTTCTTGGTCAAATCTGACCGTTATGGTTCCCTTGCTTTCAGAGAAAAGTTTTGGGATATGTGTCATTTCTCAAGTATTATTTCAAAATTGATGGTCCATTGAGAGGAGCATAGCCTTCACAATAAAGTGGAGTGCGATAACCTTTGATAAATTTTCCTTAGGACACCAAATGGCTCTCACCCTCTTCCTCAGCAAAGCAATGGGATGACTGGATGAGCAAGTGTCAGTGTAAAGATAGGGGTGACACGGTCTGCCTCGGGATACATGTTATCCCGGGATCCCTGGTAGCCTTCTAAGGGTATTTTTTATGAACCTAGCAAATATTATCGTGGTTCTTCTAATTATTGAATCATGTTGTTTAACGTAGAAGTTTTGAATTCATGCAATCAATTTAACAAGCAATTTTTTTTTTTTTGAAACTTTAGATTAGCTGTGGCATATGCGTTCTGATAGTAGGGGCAAAAATGGAAATACCTGTGGGTTGATATTGTAGATTTTTTATTTTTATATTTTTGGAAACTTAAAGCTGTAAATATTTGGCTCCTTTAATGTTCTTAGCTCTCGAGTCAAATTCTTTTTTCCAAAGTAATGTGAGAAGCTGGTATGATTTATGCTAGAAAGACTGTCATCTATTGAAGAAATGCAAGAGCCTCGAATAATGCCTCAGGAGGAAGTCCCTCGTCCAAAGTCTACCAAGAAGAAAGTTTTAACCCAGTCTGCTCCATCTCTTTCTAAGAAGGGCGGGGTTGATAAAGGTAAAGCTGGTTTTGCAGGTTCTCTACAGTCAAAGAAGACCTCAAAACGAGGCCTCAAAGCTGATGCATCCCAACCACCGTTACAACACACAGACGGCTCTACATCAGAATCTTTGCCTGATTCCTCATCCTTGGGTGGCGACTACCGAGGACTAAGACACAAATATCTTGTATTAGAGGAAGAAAGCCTCTCATTGGATAGAACGCTGAGTATGGTTGAAGCTGATATCAAGGCTCTAGAAAATGATAAGCTTGGGCTTCTGGATCAACTTGTTGTCTTGGAAGGTCTCATCGATCCAGCAGAGCTCAAATCCAAGTAAACTTGTAAGTAAAACTGTTTTTAGCTCCATCTGTGATGTGTTATACTCTGAATCATAACAACGTTTTGCTGATATAATTACTGACAATGCTGAAAGAAAAATAGTTTATTGTATGTTCTGCTTGTTAACACTTTGATTAATATATTGCTAATACTGTTATAGTTCATGCAATTATTGTATGCCATTGTTTCCCATTGTGAGAAACTTCTGTTTCATTTCTTTAAAGAGCACATATTGCATTAATGTAACAGAATTTGGCATTTATGATTTCAATTGCTTCACAGATTTATATAAGTAGCCAGGATGTGAACATTTTATTTCGCCTTATTGGTTTTGGCTTTAATTCTTGATGAAAGGTTGGTGTTATACATTAAAACTTAGGCTTCGTTTCGGATGACTTTCTTATTGCTTTGTAAAGTTATTTTTTTAGTGTAAAATCTATTAAAAATAGGGGGAAAATAGTAGTCTAAAGCTGTCCCAAATGATGCCTTAGTCTTGTTTTTTTCGTAGAATCTGAAAAGGGTTGTTTTCTTATGTTTTACTTTCTTGGTTAAGTGTTAATGGTCATTCAGAACTTACACTGCTTGCTGAACTAGTTATTTGAAGCTAATGCATCAAAGGCTGAGCACATGACCAACCGAAAGTTTAATAACATATCTGCTACCATATGTCATTAAAATTAGTTTAATTTGAAATTTCATAAAATATTCTACCATTGTAGATCAACCTTACACAAATAACAACATGATTTAAATGATAAGATAAAACATGCAAGTTGTAATTGGAAAAAGCTTGCTATTTTTTAGATATATTCCAAAATTTATTTAAGGGGAATTTATCCCTCATGTATTCCTGTATTATTTATTGATGCTTGTTTGGAGAGATTGATTTGAAATGATTTGAATTCGAATCTCAAATCAAACCATTGTTCAAATTTGAATCTAATTTAAACTTGAATTAAACCTAGGTGAATGAAGCTTCTTGGAGTAGGCATCACAGAATTGGGTTTCATGATATGAGTTTATTTGGGGTTTGTAGATGTGATTGACAGTGCGAGGATAAAGAGAATTTGCAATGAGAGCCTATTGATGGGATCAATGACTTGTGAAGAGAAGAAGATTTTGTAATAATGGGAGCTCATTGGGGGCCTATGATGCACCGACACTTCTCCTCAAAGAGGCGTGCAGTGTCCGACATCGTATCTAACACGACACTCGTCCAACACTCCTCACCGAAAACGTGTCCGTTTAAAAAAAATATTAAATTCAAATTGGACACGCGTGTCCGGCACGCGTATCTTAAATATTTTATGAATTTTTTTAAATATAATTTCTTGTGTTTGACTGGATTTAAACTAAATTTCTTATTTCCTATCCACAACACCAAATCAATGTCCGCACTTAATACCCAATCATCGAATATTCTTATTTTCATTTCTTTTTGACAGTGAAGCTATTTTCATCTCCTCTCTCAGTGATTGATAAACGACATCGACGCCTGAATCTCGACATCCTAATACTAATCATTTTAAGCATAAATTCTAGTTAAATAACTTATTATTTTCAAATTATTTTTAAAATTATACTTATTTAATTTTTATACACTATTTTTTAAATATAAAAACTATAATACCGTGTCCAACCCGTGTCCTATATTTTCAACAACTGACGTGTCCTGTGTCCGTGTCGTGTCGTATCCGTGTCGCCGTGTCCGTGTCTGTGCATCATAGTTGGGGGCTTGGCAAAAAAACCAACTATGTGTTAGGAGAAGTTGATTTCATGATAGGAGCTTGTGAGGGAAGGCAACGATGGGACTAACGACTTCTAAGAAAAATAGCAGGCTCATTGTGTATGACATATCGGGACCATTCATGCACAATAGGCTCAATAGGGAAGGCATCGTGAGACAAACTAATGCAAAGGAAGATCCAAACCAAATTTAAACCTTATTTGAGGAGGGGGAGAGATTATTTACATCCTGGAAGAGATCTTTCCTAGTCAAATTAATAAGGGTCGTGTCAAGCTTAATCCTGATAGTGCAGTGGAAGAGATTATTAAATTAAATCAGCTATTGGAGTGCCCAGTAAAATGGAGATCAAAAAGCCTCATTACCAAACATAGTAATATCAAAAACAGCAAACTTACTAAAGTGAACAAGATTTCTCCAATTTTGTTATCTTGGATTCTATTAAAGTTGAGATTCCCTATATCAATCCAAGCACCATTAAGAAAAAGAAGCAATGCTAGTAATAACAACCCAAAGGTGTTTTTTATCCATCGAGTTAGTAGCATTGAAAAGAAAATGCAACAAAAGATGGAAGAACACCATAACATATCTCACCATGTATCCTGAATAAAGATGGGTGCGGAAGAGAGTTTGGAGGCGTCCTATTGGATACAAATTCTTTAATTTTTACTCACTGATAAAAAATTATTGCAATTAGCTTCATTATTGAAAATCAATTTAATAATGATGAATCTAGTGTTAAACTTGTGAATTTTAATTCTTATTTTCAATAGGCATAAGAGATCAAGATTAATAACATCTACTAAATTCTTATATTAAGGCACTATATCGATCTCATTGAACCCACACACATTCCATGCTACTACTATGATTGAGAAATACTTAAGGTGGTATCATGTTTTGTTTGATGAACTCTAGACATCTAGGTCATCAGAGATCCTTTATAAGGACAAGTGATATTGCAGTACTATAAGGTTTTGGATGTCTAACTAGATTTGAGTGAGGGTTCAAAGGGTGAGAGAGTTTATTGAAGAGTTATTCATATCTAAAGAAGAGTTGAGATTTAAGGGATATTAGGCATGTTATGAATTTGAGAAATTAGGTTAGTATAATTGTTTCGAGGTAAAAGTGTAATTCTGAGGCTAATGCGTGAAGTGAGATTTACATGATTCAGGTTAATTGTGTTCGATAGATGTTATTTACTACCTAGCTTGTGAATCCTACTTTTGTCTTTGATATTCTAAGTGTTGGGCATGGCAGCTTGTTTTGGAGTCCAATATTAATGAACATGAGTTTGAAACTAAGCTGTGCATACATCATACATTGTAGGTTTCTAGCCATAAAGAAACCGATAAAGCATGAGTCTTATCATTTAGGTTGATAGGGATTTTATTTTGGAGTGTTTAAAAGTTTGATTCCTTACCGAAAATGAGCAAAAATTAATATTGATTTATTTGAAGTGACAGGGAGAAGGGCTTAAATTTTGTTAGTTATTTTCGAGACAATAGAGGATTCCGACAACAATGGGAGTAGTCAAAGAATTTAATCCATAGGTGAATGTATAATAATTTAAACAAATATTAATGCATTCTAAGCGTAAACGTGTACAAGATGAGTAAAATCTGTGATCACCTCAACAAAATTAGGAAGAAAGTCAAGAATATATGAAGAACAATTTACGAATAATGCAACATTAAATTCACTACAAAGGACCCAGTGAACTTGCCAAAAACTTCAATTTACTCCCAAAATTGTGACATGTTATGATGAATTAATATTAAAATAAGAATATAGTATGCAATTATGACACCGATATACTACACATAAACCCCTATATATATATATATATATATATATATATATATAATTGGGCAAATTAAATAAATATAAAATGTAGAAAAATGAATTCAAATAAGCTTAAATTTAGTTTCTCAGAAAATGAATAAAAAATTCATTATTAAAAAAAGCAATTTAAACAAAATTATTAATAATGATAACTTTCAGATGTCTATTTTAAAAATAAATGTCTATTATTAATTTTCTATTTTTTCATTCCATCATTTTTATTATCACTATTTTATTGATACGCATTATTTATTTAATCAGACAAGCTTAAAGCATATCCAACTTGTATAAAAAATTTGTAGGACATGTGACATATCCTACATGTGTGAGATACTATATAATGTAATATGAAAAATTATAAAGACATAATAGATAAACTATAACTAGAATCAATATGCCTCAATTAAAAATAAAAAAATTGAGAAAATAATCAAATTAAATAGAAATAGAGGTGTCATTAATAAAATAAGGGAAATTTGACTCTATATGCCTCATTATAGTTGCAATTGGATAAAAATATCGGTAGTTTCTTTTCTCGAGAAAATCTACTCACAAGTTCATTACAAATCAAAACACTATTGTTAATGTTTTTCTCCCTCTACACTTCCGCTTTCTTTATTGATGCCACATACTTTTGTTCGAAATTTCTTTACTCAACAAGGTATGATAGTTGTTTTGATAATGCACAATGAAAAAAAAAAGTTCAACGACTACTTCAACAAATATTGAAAAATTCTTTTAATATTTTATCCTGTAACATATATTATGTCAATTTGATGGAGCACTAAATAAAATATTAAAGTGAGTGTTTCAAATTTGTTAGAACCTGTGTTCGAATTATGATCCAGCCAGGTGGGATAATGCACTTTTCGTACAATGACAATATTTGCCAACCAGGTGGGATAATGCACTTCCCGTTTAAATCTAGCTTCCAAGAGTTTATCAACCTCCTGCTCGATTGCTTGCTGGCCACCAGGTGTAAAATTTCTTTTCTTTTGCATAACCGGTTTGCATTTTGGGTTCACTTTGATGGAGTGCACTTTTACTTAGGGTCGATTCTTGGCACATCAGTTGGACTCCATCCAAAAATATCATGATTTTTCAGCAGAAAATCTGCATACTTTTCCTTCTCTTCATTTAAGAGCAAAGATTCAATCTGCACAGTTCTTGAAGGATACTCATCTGATATAGATACAAAAGTAAGGTCTTCTACGGGAGAAGCCCTCAGAGGGATATCTTCGTTCCGAAGGTCGAAGTCCTCAAGGCTTAAAGTGACTAAATGGCGTAGTTGTACCTGCCTAAAATAGCAGGATTGCGTTATTTGTTGGTGGTATGTCACCATACTGATCCCAGTAGTGATAAAAATATCAGTTTGAGATGTGGAATGGAGGAGACAATTTTAAAAATCGATTGGAGGGGTCTTTCAAAGATAGCATTATAAACTAAAATTGATCTTACCACAATAAATTAAATTATGTGAGTAGCTTGTTAAGATAATTCTGAGTACAATTGGGAGTAATTGTCTCTTCTACTCATACGGGTTGATTATCAAATCCATATAAAGGTTCTACAGGGGGCTGAAATTTTTCTCGATGGAGACCCATGCTGAGAAAAGTAGAGTAGAACAGGACATTGAGAGCTCTCATTGTCTACTAAAATCCTTTTGATATTGTAATATGGGT